CCAGCGCGCTTCCTCAATCTCACTAGACACTCCGCNGCAACAGACTAAATCCATTCACTCGTGCAACTGAGAGGCTATGAAGATGATGGAGACAAATTTGTAATGATTAGGGTTTCTAGCAAAACGAAGATGCGTTTCTCTAGAAGATATCCGACAAGTGAGTCTCGATCTATTCGATTCTAGTTTTAGGGTTTCTTCTTCTTTGGTTGTCGAATCTCTTGTTATTCGTTTTCATGGAGAATTCGTTTTCGTTTCCATTGGATTCGTTTTCCAATCTCCAGTTGTTCGATATATCCAGTGGCTGCTCAGAAATTGAAGTTTTCCAGTTCTGGGTTTTCTGGGTTTGTGGCTCGGTTTGGGATTTTATATCTTCTTATAAGTTGATTCTGCGAATATTGTATCTCCTTATCAATTCCTTAATTATCAATTCCTTATTTATTTATTAACTCGTTGTTTCAATTTTCATCCGGTGGCAGTTGAGTGGTTCTGGAATTAGCCAATCTGCATTACAGCTTCCTTCTCCTGTACAGCTTCAACAGAAAAATGAAGTGCATGTTGATGACCGCAGCAAAGTGCCAAGTTTGCCATCGAACGAGGCAAAGCCTCTTCTGCCATCGTCATCTTCCAATTCGGCTGATATTTCTGTCGCTCTTAAGGTAATGGCCTTTTCTTGTATTTTTTATGGATGTGGGTGTGTGGGAGGAGTTCTCATTTCATCTTGCTAGTTACTCTTGCAGAATCCTGGCATTTTGACTACTTCATCAACCTCAGCTTGGTTTGGTCGTTCAACTCGTGGAGCCACCTCGACGAGTAATCTTCAATCAACTTGATTTTGTGACCTTNTTTTNCAAAAATTATGATNNGTAATATAGTTCTTTTCCTACCAAGAGAGGAAGTGTTACTAATCTCCGATTATCACAGGGTTTGGCTCTGCTTTGAACATAGAAACCTTGGTTGCAGCAGCAGAGAGAAGGGAAAACGCAATAGAGGTACTTTGCTACGTTGTGCATTTACATTCAGAATTATTTGCTTTTGGTTATATTGCATTATGAATTGTCAATATGCCAACTGTCCACTGTTTAATAAGAATGACAAGGATAAGTCTTTTTTTTTTTTTTTTCCAGGCTCCACCTTCAGATGTTCAGGACAGTTTCTTTCATAATTAATAATATCTCTACAGCGAACATTGAATCTAAAGGGAAAGAGTTTGCTGAAATTTTGCCTCAACAGTATTATCCTTGGTTCGCACAGTATATGGTTATGAAAAGGTACTGATAGTTGTGTTTTTTTGTTTGCAATTTATGTTAGGTTTTCTTCTCTTCTTATTGTTTTTNTTCATGTTTTAAATACCTGTCAGAGCGAGCATCGAGCCAAATTTTCATGATTTGTACTTGAAGTTCTTGGACAAAGTTGATTCCAAACTGTTGTTTAAAGAGATACTCCAAAATACATACGAAAATTGCAAGGTAAAGATTTCTTCATACAAATGATTGTTGTGATGAGTGTACTTTTGTTTAGCAAAATTTTATTTCCTTAATTCCTTTGGTATTGCAGGTTCTTTTGGGTTCAGAGCTCATAAAGTCAAGTTCGGAAGAGCGATCTCTGCTTAAAAATTTGGGCAGCTGGCTTGGAAAGCTGACCATTGGAAGGAATTACGTTTTAAGGGCGCGAGAAATAGACCCAAAATCCTTGATTGTAAAGGTATTTTCTGCAAGTTCCTTAAAAATTTTATCTCGCTCTTCCGTAATAACTGTGTCAATCTGTAGATAGTGAACCTTTTTTTCTTCTCCTTTTGCAGGCATATGAAAAAGGGTTGATGATAGCTGTCATTCCATTCACTTCAAAGGTTGGTGGTGGTTGATCAGTGTTCTCAACTGTTGTGGGGTTGATGTCTTGAGTTCTAATTTGTGGAACTGCAGGTTCTGGAGCCATGCCAAAACAGTATTGCGTATCAACCTCCCAATCCTTGGACGATGGCTATACTCGGGTTGCTTGCTGAGATCTATTCAATGCCAAACCTAAAAATGAATCTGAAGTTTGACATAGAGGTTAGTCTTACATCTGTGATAATTACTTGCAGATTTCTTTACGTGCATTCGTTCTTCTACTTTGAATCTCTTATACATTTGCAGATGTTCCTAAAAGGTTGTTGTTCCATGAGTTAACTGGATGTTCTTCAATTGCAGTGCTTTTATGATAGGAGATGGCAAGCTCTTGACAAGGCCTAAAAAAGATTACACATCTACCTTTTGAACTTATATTTTTAAACTTTGACAACTTTTGGTACAATGGTTTGTAGTTTTTGTACTTTTGGTACTTTGATTATAGTGTANTGTGATTTTGGTACCTAGATTATTATGTTGTATTTAGCTTTTAATTTCAGGTTTTTGGTTATTCATTCGATTTGGC